GGGTAGCCCGTTACATGAAATTGTCATAAAAACAATCTGACAATAAAGAATATTACGTCGAATATTTTTTTAACAATATTTCAGGCAAGGTGATATTGTTGAGATGACCGAAGGGTCTACTCATTGGTTGATATCGTGACGATATCAACTCACCAATCGCTGCTAGACGCGCGCAATGGGTGGTGATTAGACGTCATCATACATTTAGCTATATTGGTATAATTAAGTCAGGACAACAGAAGATTCAAGGAGTTATAGGACTTAATTATATTAACACAGTTTTACTGTTACCAGAGACTAGTCTGACTACTTAGTCTCCTTTCCTTCCTCTGTGTTCCTTAAACACCTAGCAGGGCACTGTCAACCACTGTTGTCAGTGGATGTATACTCCGTACTGGTCAACCAGTACGAGTCAACAGTGCCCCGTTACACTAAGTGCACAAGGAGTAGCTGCCTTAACAAGGCGTTGCTACTTCCTTACGATCGCAAGACGCCTCAGAGAGGCACGTGTCTTTTGTTGATCGAAATGGGAACGGATTTTTTTTCTTCTTTTAACCTAAAAGAACACCTTAGAACAAACTAATTAACCTACTCACTTACGTCCTAAATAAACCTATTAAAAGATCTTGTAATCAATGGTTGACAGACATCAGTCTTCAACAATTGATACTTGTGTTCTAATATTACTTTAAAGGGGATCCCATCCCTTGTGTGTACCACACCTATTGTCGACTACCAGTCGACGTGTGACCCCGTTAAATCATTAGTTTTGCCAATGACTTTACCCACTGATGATACTAGCCTTCGCTTATTGAACTGGTATGCTCGATAGCTCATGCATCAATGCATTTGGTCTGATCTGCCACGCTCGAGCCCCTAAAGAAGGTATAAAAGAGACTTTACGCCGCGCAGTCCTTCAGATCACCCTTGGGTGGTCTGCGAGTCCAGTGACACTGTTTCGACTCTTTAGAGGACCCTCATTACTCATTACACTATCGGGCTTTTCGGTCAGTAGGGCCTCCATTCCAATCGACTATCACACATCTAAGGTGCTGGTTGGCAGGGCGGCAACCCATTGGGTGGTTGCTCAACTACTATATTGGCCTATCTCTGGCGCCTGTAACCGTATCCGCCGGACCGAATCGTTGCATTAACCCTTTTTACGGGTGTATACTCAAATCGATGCATCCACACTTTTTACGAGTGTATACCAATATCTATGGCCAGAATACACGAAATGTGGCGATCTTGTGCGAGCTGATGGTCTCAATACAATGACCTCCACGTACGATTCGCGAGCGTGGAGGTGGTCTAGATAATGTGTGCTATGCGCAGAAATATGTTGATTGTGTTTGTACAAGTTCAGGCCACTTCTTGACTCCAAGAACCTTGCGATGGAAGTTTTAGTGCACCTCACAGTCGGACATGCCAACTCATGATGATAGTCGGTGACGATGACGGTAACGACCGAGTAGGCCTACAACAAAACGGATCTATTATTTCATCATGCGATGGTTGTTAAATACAGACGTGAGACGTCCGTGATACATCAGGACCATTTCCTAACGCTCTCGTCTCGTGTGAGCTCGCTAACTGCAGTCGATGGCACGTATCCCTTAACACGTGTGAAGAAGTTGTTAACGCTACCTACTTTCGACTCAAATCGTTGCACGCTCGATCCTGACACACTCGCTTTGACATCCGCGCCTACGTGAATAATGGCATCGCTGAGCTGGGACACATGCGCCTGTTACGTTCTAGACCTGTAAAGACAGGCGAGTCGAGGACAGACTTGTGGCTTACAGTATAATGCCTGTGGTAACCTCCAAGAGACTCAACTGCTTCGACATCTTGCTTGCACATTCACTTCTTCGCGCACGGGCGTAAACATCCTTGTCTAACACTCCGCCGTCAGAAAGAACAACTGGATCTCGTGTGGATGATCGCTATGTACTCACTCATATGACAGAGTAGCTCGGGTGTCAAGAGGTCGAGGCACGACGAGTGAGAGGCCTGCATCGATGACGGACGCCGACTTCACGGCAAAATCGGAAACAGCTGCGTCGGACAAGCGCTTTCGGTCGCAATCGCGCACGCTCGTGTGAACACGGCGCCCCCATTCTTCGACAAGACGTTCCTACGACAAGCAAAAGCAGTTCAATGATCAGCATGAGTACTCACGTTGTATGCTTCCAGAGCTCTTCCTCGTCGTCCCCCTTTAGGTCGTGTACCAACTCATTGTCGTACCCATGACGGACGAAAATGGCGGCGTGTCAAGAGCACACGACCAGAAAATTCTTATCGTGTCTCCCGGACCTCAAACGTTGAAGACGCTGGACTTTTTAGCGAGCTTTTCCCGCAAGCTCAACCACATGGCCTTATTTGCTATCGTCAGTCAAGGCTTACACTTCTTTTCTTTAAAGCGAAAAAGCCTGTTTCACTACGGTCTCACCTTTACGCCGAAAACGGATGCTCCTCAGAACGAGATAATGACCATGTCACACGCGTCGTGTGGGCCATTCATTACGACGGTATAGAATGCGCGTTCGCGTGCTACAAAGGGTCAACGTTGCTCAGCAAGCATGGGTCGCCAAACGGGGTGGGCGTTCGTGCAATCAGCTGCTGGTGGCGTGTTGCTCACGCGCTGCTGTCGTTCCCGCGACAGTGGATAGTGCGAATCAGGTCGTGGAGATGGGACTAGTGACGAGCGGATCACTACTTGCCACAAAGACGGTGCAAGGTTTAGGCTTTGATAGTGTTCGGCTCACGACACTCATCCAATCAGTATACAACGGGCGCTGAACGACGCCGAAGCTACCACAAAATGCCCATTGGCCTCCCGAAAGAAGGACCGGACCTGCGCGTGTACTAGTATAGGCAGACGATCTCCCGCGCCGAAGAAAGCAGGCAGTGAGCTTATTCTAGCAGTGCCTGATCGAGTGCTGCAGTCCATGGGCGCAGTGATCGGGTCACATTCAGAGGTAGTAATGCAAAGTTGCGGCAACTCGAATGAACGCTTCATTCATGCCGTCGGAGCAGGTCGTTTTGCACCACAAGCTGTCGGTGACTGCTTTTTTGCCGGCAGATGTCGCCGTGTACAGGCCAGACTTTCGCATGGTATGAGTGCCGCTCTGAGTGCGCAAATTATGACCATGACGGCGTCTCCCGTCGACGCCTCGTCACAGAATTGCTGAATGCATGAAAACTGCGACCCGGATGAACGCAGGCGTAGCCGTCCGGCGGCAGAGGCTTTTCCAAAAATTTGCTTCGGCCAATCGAAGCAACGACAATCAGCGGTTTCGCAACGACACTCGGAGCCACAGAACGCCTTCGCAAAGACAACGCTCTGTGAGTAATTGAAACGCTCGTCGTCACGTTTGTATCGGGTATACAACGACGTAAAACGGGGGCGTCATGCGCACTGTACGATGAGACGTTATTTACGACGTCTCGTAATGCGCTCGCTGAATGTGACCGAACACGACACCACGCCCCCGCGATCGAGCGGCAAACCAAAGCGCTGATAGTCTCAGCTAGCGGAGCTTCGAAGGTCGGTTCTTATCGACAAACTTGCACAAAGATAGATGAGGTAACGATCGGCTCATTGATCCATCGTTGGCGCCACCACAAAGAGGGAAGAACAAGTGTGGTTGGGCTCAGGAAGTAGCTGCTCAGGTTTCACGCGCCGTGTCATGCCTGTGTGATTAGCGATTTTGCATACGCAAGGGCCATCTTCGCCGGATAACTACATTGAAGGTGCATACATTGCTCGTATCGATCTCGGCGGTTCGGAGGTCGTTGAGAATCACCACCAGCGTCGCATCGATCAGTTTGTGGCTCCTGGCAACAGACCTTGCCCTACCTTAGCGTCCAACGCTCCATATGTACCCATTACATGAAGAACAGTCACGCTCAACTTTTACCCGAACGAGCAACGCGACCAATTTGCATGCTGCAGATGCGCTCCTCACAGGAGTGACGTTCATGTGAACGAAATCGAGATACAGAAAGAGGTCCTCATGCGGCCAAGCTACGAGCACGTCTGGACGGAATGGCCTAAATGACCGAAAGAGAGACACGCTGAAAGCTTTCATATGGTTGTAGGAAGGTTACTGCATTGGTGTGTGCAAGGTTGTCACGAGGGTGTCGGACAGTGCACATGTGGGGGATAGAGCGTCAAGCGCCCTGAGGGTAAACTTTATAGAGTAAACATCGGTCTCGCTAGGCTATTCAAAGAAACGAAATATTCGAAAAACAATGAATGCGCGAATAGTGACACCACTGCGACTTATTACTCAGAAATCAGGCAATGTCGGTACATTCTCGGCGAATGGCATTCTGTAGGTGCCCTTCATTGCTTCTCGGTCACCCTACGCTGACCCGCAGCTATACGATGATCTGTCCAACAACATATATCGAATGAGCTACATTCCAGACATGTCAACATCATTCTCATCTGTAGGAAAGCATGTTCACACTGATTCGGCGTAACTCATCGGCGCCTAAATAAGATGCACGGGAAGTGAAGTTTCTGCGCGACCGCAGTTCTCAGAGATTGTGCGATTCGTGGCGGAATCGCGCAAAGCCTTTGCATTTGTCCATATGTTCATGACTGCAAAGCCCTCTTGATGATCTTGGCGCCACTTCGGATGAATTCCGCCGGTAAGAATGTGACCTCCCCCGCTGACTCACAAGGCGTGGCGGGTTTTGTGATCACGGGCAGTACAAACGACGACGTACGAGCATCTGGGCGGCCGGTATAATGACGACTTTCGGAAGTCTACACGGCCCGACAACCACAAACGTGAACAAGTCATCTGGAAGTTGGAGTCAATGCACGATGGCGGTTATGTTTGTGCTACGTCGTCCGTTGACAACAACGCAAAGGCTGAACTGGCGGCAAATTTACAATGCATTTACATGAAGACCTGAGTACGCCCCTAAACTAACGTGGCATCCCTACAGCGAGCAAGGTGGTATCATAGCGAGATACAGCCTCTTCAGTCTTGCCGCGCTCCGTGGCGAATGCATACGCCGCGACGAACCGCGCCCTTGTTGCAGCCTGCTTCTCGGCATCGGCGACCGCCACCGTGCGACACGCACAAGTGTCCACCAACAGCGCTCTTGGAGCACCCGGTGACTTCACACCTTCTACCACCGCCGTGAGCGATGCAGAGGCCGCCTTTGAGTGCCGTCTTCGAGCACATGGGTGCGCTGCAGCGCTTGCCTCCGCCATGTGCAGAACATAGGCCACCAGCCAGAGCCGATTTGGAACAAGCATCTCTACGGCATCGCTTGCCGCCCCCGTGAGCGATACAGTAGCCACCTTCTTTGGCGCTCTTGATGCAGCCTTCGTGACAGCACCGTCGACCGCCTCCGTGCGAGATGCAGAACCCCCCAGTTTTAGCACATTTGCGGCATTCGGGCACTTTGCATAGCCGGCTGGGCTTATGAGACTCGCAGTAGGTTCCGAAGAAGCTGTTGGCGGAGCGGTAGCAGTTCTTCTTGGCGCAAATGACGCTCTGGGCGTGCGGGGCGTTCAGGTCTGTCGACGAAAGCACCGGATCCGGATTCGTAATGAAGCTGAGACTCATGCGCTCGCGCAGCACCGGCGTGGAGACGAAGGAAGCATCACTCGGCGTCGTGGAGGCGACACTGCTGTTGTCTAATTCCGATGTCGAGAATGTGAGGAAGAGCTTGCTGGGCTCATAGGGCGACGGGTCGCATAGCTGTAGGGGGAATCGCGTGCGCTGGCGCATAGCATCATGTAGTATCGGGCCGGTGATCTGGAACATGCTCGTAGGGACTTGGAGTGAGAAACTTCGAAAATGATGCCGAGCGGAGGAGCACCTGTGGCCAAGACTTGTCGAGTGTGATTGTGAGCGAGCTGTGGCGCGGGAGCGACTCTGAGCAAATAGAGGTCGCTAATAGACAGGCATGATTCAATCTCAAAGTAAACAGGTTGCGCCGCCATCTGCCGTTCACAATCGCAGCAACGGATGGGCCCATACGACCGTACATGCAGATGCGTGATTGCTTTAAAAAAGGCATGCGTCCCGTCTGGAGCATACTGAAATTGAAGTAATGTTGACCCTCGCCGTTGTAGCACACGGCCAGTCGATTGAGATCTTCACGCAACCGTATGAAGCACGGTCTATCGTAAGCAGTAGCAGTAGCAAGGTCACGCATTTGCGGCTGAAAGCAGCTCGGGACACCCGCATTTCTTCATGGTCGAAGGAAAGCGTCGGCGATGCGGATCGGTTGACTTGAACTAGACACGCTGTTTGGTTGCACCCCGGCCATGAAGCCTTTGATCCAGTGTTGCGGAGGATTTGCTGTGGCATATCATGCGGCACCCTGTACGCAAAAGCCATTTCGAGGCCTCGGCATCCTATAAAAGCTGGTCAAAAGGTTTGCCCACTTACCTACAGCCACTGTCTCCGAAAGAGCCCGGTCTAAGTCTCACTTTTGACGGTCCAGATAAAGTGGTATGTCTCAACCACTTTCTTGGAGCAAAGAAAGTCTGACTCATGCGTCAAATAGCCGCCGCATCTGTAAGCTCTCTAAACGAAAGTCCGTGACCCGAGTGCCGATCGAAATGTGCCGAAGAGGGCGCGTCTTGTCAGATCGACACACTTCAACAAATGCCGTCGCTCTTTAGCCAGCGCTAAAGGTCTCAGCAGTATGCAGCACCGCACGTAACCGATGTCCAGACCGACGAGAACACGCCGAGCCCATCGACATCAAAGATTGCTGAGACCTGCCTCATGCACTCGTGTCGTATGCCGTATGGACATGTAGAAAGGCTACGTGTCGCCTCGTCGGCATGCGCGTCGCAATTTGGATTCACGGCCACGTCTGGTCGGGGATGCTCTAAGCTACTGCGGTGCCAGAAACATACTTACGTGCTCACAGGTCAGCATGTTCATCAAGCTACGCTATTACATGCACGCACATGGCTTACATATGCGATCGCAGGGTGGGGAAGTAGTCGTGCATTAGCGTTGATGTCTCTAATAGTGTCAAAATTGATGTAGCCGACAACTGCAAACCATCGATGACGTATGCCACGATCGTCATGGATTCCGGTCGTCCATTCACCGACCTGATCAACCAAGATACGGGATACGTGGACTATCCAGTCGATGTCGCTTGCGCGCAGGCACTGAGAGGGCTGTTGAAATTCGTGAGATATTCCTTCACGTGCTAAAGCGCGATCGAAGAAGAAGTACTGTCGGTGACACTTTCCGTCGAGTCTTCCTTTGTGCTTGTACTGTACCATTGAATGATCGATGTTTGACTCAACCAAAGGTTTCGCAGGGAGAACCTTGGGCTCGAGCGATGAGAGTCGCTGGCAGGACCGTTCACGGAAACGCAAATATGCAACATTTTACCGAAACGAGTATATGGATTAACGCAACTTGACAATTACGAGTACTCAATTGAGGCCGAGATGCGATCCAGTGTCGTCTCTCCGTTGCGTGACGTGCGTCTTTGAATTGGTCTACGACCTGAGTAAAGGCCCCGTTTGCATGGCAAAAAACGTGACACGTCAAAACGCACGCATGTAAGTGAGGACGGTCCAGGCAGTAAGTAGTAGGCGCGGAGAAAGCTGAATTCTTCGACCTAGATCTCGAACGGACGAATGACACTCGACTGTACCTCAGACACTGAATGTGATATAGTAAAAGGCGTCATGTGCAGGCTCACTGATACTAACAGGCGCGTGAAGGACTTACATCCTGATCGTTTGTGGTGTATACTAGCACGCAGCGGATCTTTGCTGTGTATTTTTGTACAGAGAAGGCCAAAATGTGTTATTTACACCATACTGTTCGATTTTTCAGTTTTTGAGGTTTGGAAAGTGACAAATGACGACAGTCAAAGATTTTTGCGAACCGCTCGGACGAGACGAGTCTAGGCAGAAGCCGTCCCTGTAGACCACGCTACAAGTGCGCGCGTGCATGCGACTCAGATCATGTGAAAAGCAAAGGCTCATTCACGGATAGAACGGGCGGCTAGCACGGAGTGAGTGAGGAAAAAGCAAAAGGTGAAGTGTCCGTGATGTACTGCGGTCGAGAACGAGTAAACGGTTGAGCTCCAATGTCATGCACTCGTAAATGGATGGATCAATCGATAGGCGTCAAGCTAATTTTTGCGCAGATTCACCCATGACAACTTGAACAAGGTGGCCGATGCATCCGACATATGATAAGGAGAGAACCGCTGTCCGAGAAAACCTCCTGCAACGAGGAGGCTTACCTCGCGATGTTAGAATCTGGATGTCCCAGAACCTTGCTTGCAATTCGAGGGGCCCACGCAGCACATTGGCAGGACTATTTGGCAAGATAAAAGCGAGTAAAACCATTGTACGACTGATACGTACAATGGTCTTGCTCTCTTTCGTTTGTCGACTCGCCCCTGTGCACGTCCATTATGGAATAGGCGTCTTAATCCGTGCGATCAATCGTGCATGTATCGAGTGCTATCACATAGGTGACACGTTCTTCTTAAAGTTGGCAAGGAGGTGCACGTGTGACCGTGACAGTGCGTGGTATGCTCCATTCGCCGCGCACAGGCTCACGTACTACCGCGATGGTCATTCGCACAAGACGCTGTCTTGATCCTACTGATGCCGTGCGTGTACGCGATCGCTATGCTTGGGAATGGCGGTAGATGGGTACGTACTAATGGGTTCGGCGTTTCGTACAGATCACGGCTTCAATTCAGCCTGCCATGGTATCTGCCTGTATGGACTCCGTGTGACGAATTGAACTGGCCTCTTCGGTCATGCTCGCAGCGATCGGTACGGTTGTGTGTAAAAATAACACGGATGTTTGGCATTGTAAGTGTATGACAAGGTACAGCCGCCATCGTCAGGACTTTCAGATCTGCGATGAAGGCAGTTAGCGTAACCCTACATTTTTGTAAACAACCAAATGAAAAAACAGCTTGGACGAAGGTACCGCCGCCTCTTGTAAATGCGCTGAATACTACGTTTGGAAGAGAAACATGGCGCGGTTTGATAAGCCCACGTCGTTAACTCGCGGCGCATGTTTTTCTGCGTCAAAAGCTGTGGCAAAGAGTCGAGTTGGAATCTGTCAACGACGTTTTGTCAGTGGTGACCCAACATTGGATATGCTGATACTATGCGATCACGTACAGACATGTACTGCGAGCAGGTAGTGAACCAATGGCATGCACGATGGGAGCGGCCGTCTCACTTCGTCTGCTGACTCGGTATAGTAGATCCCTCGAATGCCACGAGAACCACAATGAACGAGATGACACGTAGGCTTTGGGTCACCAACATTCGTACGACTTCTGAAACGATCATATGACAGGCGAGTTAACTAGAGAGTACAAGTGTCCACGACGATGAAAACTAGGTAGAAGTCGGTGATTGCATATGCTTCGGAAACATCGTGTTGATACAAAGGTCAACTTACAACATAAGCTCGTGCTTGACTATCTTATCGACGACGGAGCGTGAGCTTGAGGCCCACGCACTGGTAGTGACATTTCTTGCAGCACTCATTCAGCAAATATGGTTCGCTTCGAGCGGTTGTAACATGCCGTGTGATTGTGCCTCGGAATAAGATCAAGGCTGCTACGTTTAAACGTGTATCACCAAATTTATGAAAACTGCTTGGAAATGCATAAATAGATCGCTGTCTGACAGGGTTGCGCTTTTTTAAGCAACTTGACAACTCGTTGCTGACGATGGAGCGAGAAAGAGTCGGACGCCTTGCCCAGTATCACCATGCATAACACAGCAGTATCTTGTGGTCGCTACGCAACTGATTTGGCGACACGACGACTGGACCAGATAAGTTTTTTTTTGATCGCAGATGGCAGAATGTGGACGTCTCCCCTAACCCTGATAAAAGCACTGCGTCTGGGGTGGTCATTTTGGGAGAGTCCAAGGGAGCGTATCATGCCCATGAACAAGCTATGCCGCTAGCCAAAGTACTAGCAGCACTACGAGGATGCCCCGACGAGCGTTCTTTGCGTACAACGCTTACAAAACGACGAGCCAAACTCGTTGGACTTGCATCCTTGCACGAGAGCCCTCTATACCGTATAGTGTAGGGCGCAGTACCATGTGTATCTTACGATGGTGAGGATAAAAGAAAGGCGCACCGTTCTTATGCGCTCGACTCTGCGACAAAGCCGGTCATTCAGAAAGTTCGTGCTCATTGGCAAGTTGTTTACTACAGGATTGCCCCTAACAAGCGTAAAGAAGCCGATCAAACTTGAGCTTTCGCAGGCCAAGTCTGTGGATTTTATAGCACGAGAAGCTGCATAATGCAAAGTTTGACAAATGTCTGAAACAATCGATTGACTGATGATACCTCGCACCAAGTCCGAAAGATAGATGTCTTAGTCAATGTATCCTCCCAAGCTTAAATCAGGCGGCTTCGAGATGCCATAAAAGCGTTCGCATGAGTGTATTTGGTATGAGAAGACAGCTTTTCTGGTCGGCTTGAGAATGCCACTAACGCACGTGGGTATGCACAAATGTACGCAAGGCGCGATGAAGCATACGCATCCCGTAGCCTGAATGCATACGCATGCATGAGGAGCTAAGTATGCCGTTAAACCAACAGTCCTCACTGCAGAGCAGCGACGAAGGCACGCAATGAGCGCAGCAACATTAGCTGATAAAAGGATCTTGACTAGTTTAGAGCAGCTGCGATATCGGTGACCAAGGCGTTGTCTAGAAAATTCCACGTGCGAAGTGGTACGAGCCTTCGTTGGAAGTACATGCGATATGAAAATATCATACGCATCG